CCGCCGCCGCCGCCGACGGCGGCGGCGGGGAGGCGGCGGGCGAAGTGCGTGTCGGAGTCGCTGGACGATGCTCTGAGGAGGATGAAATTGAAAAGGGGCGACCTGCATTTGGAGCTGATGAGGATTTTCCTGCAGAGGCAGGTGGAGAAGAAGAAGGAGAGAGAACTGAAGGAGAATGCAGTTGAGGACGAGACGATGGAGCTTCCTTATGGAGTCATGGCTATTGCACAATCTTCGCCTACGAGTTTGCAGAGAATTCGTGAGGGCGATTTTCTGGATGTGAAAATCGGGGCGAATTCGAATTCAAACGGTAGTTTATCCTTGCAGAGGCACTTTCGGTCAAAAAATATAGAACCCCTACCGATTGGTACAATGCAGGTTCGTTTTTCTTGCTTTTATTGCTAATTCTTCATCACTTAAGCAAGCGTATATGTTTTCTTTATTGTTAATAGTTCGTTTTCTTTCTTTATTGTTAATTGTTACATGTTCTGTAATGGACTAGGTTGTCCCGTTTGCGGAGAATGTGAAGAAGATGATGAAGATCAAGAAATGCCATTGGTGTAGGAGAAGTAAATGTCCTAGCTTGATCAGGTGCTTGACGTGCAGAAAACGATTTTTTTGCCTTGAATGTATTAAAGAGAGGTTAGTTGAGTTGTTCCACTCGAAATGCATTTTTTTTATCACTTTCGTGAAATATAGTTTGCTCGTGGCATAGTAGCACTGATCTAATCTTGATCTTCGTTCAGGGCTTTTGAGAAGCAAGAAGTGAAGGCTAAGTGTCCCGCTTGTCGTGGGGCTTGTGTTTGTCAACTATGCATGAAACAGAAATACAGAGCCAATAATTCTAAGGTTTTTGGCAGACTGAATGCTGTACTAATTTCTGAATAAAGATTGGAGAATGGCTGCTTGACGTTTTTTTTTTTTACATTCCAGGATTCTTGTAGAGGTGGAAAGAAGTTGGATAGAAAACAATTGCTTCAGTATTTAATTCACACGCTTCTTCCTGTGTTGAGAAAAATTAATCACGATCAGGCCATTGAACTCGAAACAGAATCTAAGGTAACAGGTAACGAGAATAATTGAGATCTCATCCTGTTAATCAGCGGTTTTGCATTCTTTATTTGATTGTAACTTATATACAGTTCACTGTTCTACTTGCAACAGGAAATGAACAAGCTGAAATTCAGATTACTCAGAGTAAATCAAATATTCACTCGTCACCTTGCTGGTAATTTCCACTTCGATATGCAAGCAAATTACTTCCTTCGCGTGAGATTCTAATTATTTTTTTTTTAATTATTATTATTATAAATTTATTATTGCAGCAACAAATGCAAAGCTTCAATTGTGGACTACCATAGGACCTGCACAAGCTGTTCGTATAATCTTTGCTTAAGCTGTTGCTGGGAAGTCTCTCCTCATACTGTTCCTTCGAGTTTTACGCTCAGAAGTTGCAAGAAAAGGAAAATCTCTTCTTCTGGCGATGAGTTACCATCTGAAAAGAATAATATCCCAATGCAAAACTGGGAAGCTGAAGAAAATGGAAAAATCCCTTGCCCACCAACAGATATTGGAGGTTGTGGTGAAAATTCTCTCGATTTAAGATGCGTATTCCCCTTTAACTGGTGTAGAGATTTAGAGGTAAAAGCTGAAGAAATATTGTGTGAATATCAGTTTACAGAAAACTCGGATGCTTCTCCTTGTTTGTGCAACAATGTCAGTACTTTTAATGGTGAATCCAAATCTCATAGAGAACTTAATCGGAAAATCGGTATTAATGGGAATAGTTATCTCTACTGTCGTTTTGTGAAAGACCTTCATCATGAAAAACTCGAGCATTTTCAGAGTCACTGGGTTAGGGGTCAGCCTGTTATCGTACGAAATGTCCTCTCGGGCCCCACAGGCTTGTGCTGGGACCCTTTTAACATGTTATGTTTGTATTTGGAGAATAAGAGCTCCGAATCTCGTGATGAAGGAGATGGCTCGAAAGGAAGGAAATGTGTTGACTGGTGTGAGGTGTGTGTTTTTTCTGTTTCTTAATTTATTTATTTCATTTTATTATTATTATTATTTTTTAAAATTAAGCAAATTTGACATTTTGTAGGTGGAAATTGACCGGAAGCAGATATTCATGGGTTCGCTCGAGAAGAGAACTCATGCAATGGTACGGAAAAAAGTCATAAAATTCAAAGCTTGGCTTTCGTCACATCTATTTCAGAAGCAGTTCGCGGAGCATTATAACGAGATATTGAGTTCTTTACCGTTTCCAGTTTACGTCAATCCGATATCTGGCCTTTTGAATCTCGGTGCGAATTTGCCAAAGGATTTTCGAATGCCTGATTTAGGACCGTGCATTGATATTTCATACGGAGGTCCAGATGAACTATTGCAGGCTGATTATTTGTCGAACCTGTGTTATCAATCGCATGATACGGTATATGTCTTGTTTATATATGTTAAAACTTAAAACCATATTTCTATTAGATATTTTCGAGGATTTTATTCTTTAGTCTTTAAGAATTAGTGCAAATGGGTTTCCTTTTTTTTTTTTTCCTCAGGTTAACATTCTCGCTTATGCTACCGATACTACAATCTTACCAGAGCAAATTAACAAAATCGAGAGTCTGATGAAAAAGTACAAGAACCGGAGCAATTGTGCCTATCAGAAAGGCAAGTCACCTTTGCAGAGTGAGGACACGGGTGAATCGGGCTTGCAAGACAATGGGGAAAATAAGATTTTGCCGGATGGAGTCGGAAATTTACCGTTTTACCATCACAACGTTGAAAATGGGAATCTGTCGGATGATGGCGAAGAATCTGATGGCGAGGCGTCGATTCTTTGCTGTGGGAGTGTTGAAAACTCCGAAGACTCTTCTGACGAACTTTCTCAAGGGGAAGACATAGATAGCTCGGTTTTCAACAAGGATAATAATCGAGGGGATGATGATATATGTGGGGCCCAGTGGGACATTTTTCCTCGTCAAGATGTACCGAAACTTTTGGAGTATCTTAGGAGACATTCGAAGGAGCTCGGCTCTGCATCAAACTACTCTAAACACGTATGTTATGATCACTTAAGGGTTAATTTTGTTTTATTCATTATATATTAACTTTTTATTTTGTGTATTCGTTTTTTTTTATATCTTTAGCAGGTTCATCATCCCATTCTTGATCAGAATTTCTTTCTCGATGCGTATCACAAATTGAAGCTCAAAGAGGAGTTTGGTGAGTACTATAATTTTTGTTTGTTTGTGCTCGTCTGGATATTTATTAGCGTAACTTGCTAAAAATGTGTAGCTTGTTCTCATTGCTCTTTCAGATATTCAACCATGGAGTTTTGAGCAATACATTGGAGAAGCTATCTTCATTCCTGCTGGATGTCCATATCAAATAAGAAAAATAAAGGTGCAATATTTATATAAGTGCACTTAATTTTCTGCAATCGAAACCAAATTCATAGGACTAGAAAAGCAGCAGCTTCTAATATAAAAAGTCTTTCTTTTTAATTTTTCTTTTGTTTTTCTCCAGTCATGTGTTAATGTCGTTTTGGATTTCATCTCGCCTGAAAATGCAACTCAGTGCATTCGGCTGAATGATGAGATTCGTTTACTGCCTAAACGGCACCAAGCCAAAGGGAAAGTGATGGAGGTAAAAATTTTGACGTTTGTCGGATTTTTTTTTTTTTGCAAAGCTTTTAAAATATTGCTTTTGACATCAAATTTGATTCGAAAGGTGGAGAAAATGGCTCTTCAGGGAATTAGTTCGGCAATCGAAGACTTACGCAACCTCATGCATGTCGATCAAGTATGAATTATGAAATTCCTTTAGTCAAGTAAGCTTTCGGATTATTTTTTGATTTTTTCTAAATCTGCAGCTAAGACTGTTGAAAGCTTACAATCACACGCACACAAAGAAAAAAATCGAAATAATTCAAATTTGCCATTACCCTTTTTGTAAGCTCACCAATAGTCGATTTTCCCTAGAGATTACTTGGTTGATGGGTTAAAAATGTAGATTTATTTTTACTTGTTTTATAATTACTAAAAGTACTCACGATCCGGTTTGACCATCAACTGATGAAAGCACAAACTTTCTT